TATAGGCCTAATATCAGCACTGTCTGCCTTTTAGTTATTGAGAAGTCGTCAGTTTAATGGAAAATTTACGCACAGCGGACGGTAGACGACGGACGGCGGACGACGACGGACGAAACATGATATATATAGGTCACCCAGACCATTTGCTTCATATGACCTGAAATGATTAAGTCATAATATACGATGATTGGTACCTAATAATCTTTTCCGAGATTTGAGATCCGGGTCTCACCAACAAGTCCTTTATCCTCTTACCTTGCTGGTCTAATTAAGTATTCGTATGTATTTCTGTTGTCCCAATACTTCGCATCGTTGACGTAATTGAACTGTTGACATGACGTTAGTGAACAGTTACTATGACGTCGTACCATTGTCCTGACAGTGGAATAAATTCAGGGTATGACAAGGAAATCTCACATATTTAAAGAAAGGGAAGACTGCCGATACACGTTCGATAATGTGGAATGAACACCAACAGGACTTATCTCCGACCCACGAGAGAAAAATATGCCGCCATGCCGTACTACATCACAGATTACGTGATGTAAGAATCGAACAGGTGTTAGCTCATGAGACGTGAGTTCCAGACAATGTCACGTTTTTATATGCCAAGGTAGACTGTACAGATATTACTGCGATGAAAAATGTAATCTCCGTACATCCTACACATTAAAAAAAAACCCCGGTGTTTCGATAATCTGTGGGCATTTTTTTTGTCTGCTCGTATAACAGAATATCTATTTTATGTGAAACGAATGCGATTCTGTAATACTCGTGATATATATATATTGTCATACTTGTGACTTGATGTCGCTAAAACATAATCCGAAGTTACAATGCGAATTCTAGCTGACATTAAAACCGCACCTCTTACCAACACTTATCGTTAATAATAAACACTGGTGGGTTTTTTTATTATCTATGTCTAATTTGACTGTTGTATCGATTTTGTTATGGCGGTTTGTCTATTGAATCTCAGAAATAGAAAATTATTATCACAGACGGATTTTAAAGCTTGTTGTCTGTATATAAGGTTGTGGGATAGAGTAGCATTGTTTGTTACAGCTTTGCAAGCTCTCGGTAAAATATGTCTCTTTATTATCACCCACCTTATGATAACGTTAGCCATCACACTATGGGAACCTGTGGATTACAAATCTCTTGTTTCTATTGAAATTGTGTGTCTGTAGTACTTTTTGTGCCATGTCGTCTTACATGCTGTGTCAGGAATACGGCCAAATAATAAATGGTTAGACAGAACAACCATACCGTTAACTTATCCAGTTGGGAATTAGTATGGTCAGTTTTGGACAGGATATCGTTAAATTTGTAAAATAATACTTCAGACATGCTGCATCAATCGAAAATGACGCAGATGTGGATCTGTCCACATATCGCCTAGGGTTTTATTATTATCATTATTCCTGCTTATAAACATTCAAATATATAAGAATTTTTTCTTTCTCTGTAGTGTCAGTAATATGTCCTTGTTCAGTAGCCCACAACACATCAATGGCTATCGTATCGAGGATGTCAAGTATTGAGCCTCTGATTGGTGCAAACATTCCGAAATGTGAAATATTTCAATTTACATGTTGGTACGGTATTTCAGTTCTCAATTGGCATTTGTTGGTACAAACTTACTGTATAACAGCCATAATATTATATTATACACTTATGATGGCACTATAAAACGTGTTCATTTAAATGGATGATTCACAAACAAGCACACTAAAAAGACACTTTACTTGTGATGTGATGACTTTCATTTGAGCCTGCTGATTTAAATAGACCCGGAAATTACCATAATTATTGACAATTTTATGATTGAATGTAATAAAATGCGTTAAAATCAGCTGAATATCACGTGATTTATCACTAAGATTTCTCTTGTAAAAATAATGCCATTGTATTGCATTCATGTATAATCAAAACACCAGGACATTTTACAAAATTTTTGTCATCTCAGAAATAAATATAATTTTATACTCTTCAATACCTCACAGCCAGATACACGCAAAAAGGACCACAGTCTTACAAAAACACACAGGTACTTGTAGACATAAATGTGATTTGTTAATAAGATTGGACAGTTAATGGAAACTAAACAACTTTATAACATCGGAGACGCCTGATTGGTCAGTTAATGAAAAATAAACAACTTTATAACATCGAAGATGCCTGATTGGACAGTTAATGGAAAATAAACAACTTTATAACATCGAAGATGCCTGATTGGTCAGTTAATGGAAAATAAACAACACTTTATAACATCGAAGATGCCTGATTGGTCAGTTAATGAAAAATAAACAACTTTATGACATCGAAGATGCCTGATTGGTCAGTTAATGGAAAATAAACAACTTTATGACATCGAAGGTGCCTGATTGGTCAGTTAATGGAAAATAAACAACTTTATGACATCGAAGGTGCCTGCTTGGTCAGCTAATGGAGAATAAACAACTTTATAACATCGAAGGTGCCTGATTGGTCAGCTAATGGAAAATAAACAACTTTATGACATCGAAGGTGCCTGATTGGTCAGCTAATGGAGAATAAACAACTTTATGACATCGAAGGTGCCTGATTGGACAGTTAATGGAAAATAAACAACTTTATGACATCGAAGATGCCTGATTGGTCAGTTAATGGAAAATAAACAAGTTTATAACATCGAAGATGCCTGATTGGTCAGTTAATGGAGAATAAACAACTTCATAACATCGAAGATGCCTGATTGGTCAATTAATGGAAAATAAACAACTTTATGACATCGAAGATACCTGATTGGTCAGTTAATGAAAAATAAACAACTTTATGACATTGAAGATGCCTGATTGGTCAGTTAATGGAAAATAAACAACTTTGTAACATCGAAGATGCCTGATTGGTCAGTTAATGGAAAATAAACAACTTTGTAACATCGAAGATGCCTGATTGGTCAGTTAATGGAAAATAAACAAGTTTATAACATCGGGGATGCCTGATTTCAAAAGTACGGGAAATATCAACTCATGCGATTACTTTTGTGCTTTTGAAATGAACATCTGGGCGTCATAAAATGGTTAATACATTTACATAATGTATCTGGACCGCGGGACGGGAATTCGCACCAAGTCACGGAGGTTTGAATGGGAACAAGAGATCGGTAACCACACACAGTGATTATTGTAGTGGTACAACGACGGGTTCGCTTGTTGTCAATATATTGTCAGTTTGTTGTCTGTATGTCAGTATGTTGTCAATATGTTGTCAATATATTGTCAGTTTGTTGTCTGTATGTCAGTGTGTTCTCAATATATTGCTATTTTGTTGTCTGTATGTCAGTGTGTTGTCAATTTGTTGTCAATATATTGCCATTTTGTTGTCTGTATGTCAGTATGTTGTCAATATGTTGTCAATATATTGTCATTTTGTTGTCTGTGTGTCAGTATGTTGTCAATATGTTGTCAATATATTGTCAGTTTGTTGTCTGTTTGTTAGTATGTTGTCGGTATATTGTCAGTTTTTTGTCTGTATGTCAGTATGTTGTCAATATTTTGTCAATATCTTGTCAGTTTGTTGTCTGTATGTTGTCAGTGTGTTGTCTGTATGTCAGCATGTTGTCAGTGTGTTGTCTATATGTTAGTAAGTTGTCAGCGTGTTGTCTGTATGTCAGTATGTTGTCAGTGTGTTGTCTATATGTTAGTATGTTATCGGTGTGTTGTCAGTGTGTTGTCTGTATGTCAGTATGTTGTCAGTGTGTTGTCTATATGTTAGTAAGTTGTCAGCGTGTTGTCTGCATGTCAGTATGTTGTCAGTGTGTTGTCAGTGTGTTATCTGTATGTCAGCATGTTGTCAGTGTGTTGTTTATATGTTAATAAGTTGTCAATGTGTTGTCTGTATGTCAGTGTGTTGTCAGTGTGTTGTCTATATGTTAGTAAGTTGTCAGCGTGTTGTCTGTATGTCAGTATGTTGTCAGTGTGTTGTCAGTGTGTTGTCGGTATGTCGTTTATCCAGTAACCACGTGTTATATTTAACATTGTTGTGTTACGTTCTGAGGCCTTGTTTGGTAACACGAAATTTAACATTTGAATAAACATACAATTTTCGTTGTACCTATTGAGATCTAAACTTCAGGGGCAATGACAGTGACCTTAGACACTTTTATATTTAGTTGCCTACCAATCTGCGAGCGTAGCCCTTCTTTACAGATGTCTCGACAAACAATAAGACATCCCTGACACCAAGCCATACGCAAAAGCTGTCTATCTGAAGAGTTCATCGCTAGCTGCATTTATAGGTATGTGGGACATCTTCCTATATAATTTGACCCGCACCATATTAAACTGACAGGCGAGTCACAGTTTTCTTGATATGGTACAAAATGTATTTCATATACAGGTATTTGGAATTTAAGTTTTTTCTTGCATGGTGTTATGCGTTTCGTATTAAAATATATTAAAAACGGAAGGTCACAACGTGAAAACAAGGTTTGATGACGGTACGCCATTGTCTATACCGAACAGTGTGCCTTTCCGGCATGTAGCACCATCTCACGGGCTCGTGGGCTTAAGAATGGCTGAATTCAATCTTAAATAGTCAGAACTGATCTGGAAACAATATCTTGGCCAGGCAGATAGGCTAGAGATAACAAATATTACATTTGACAGCCGTCATGACTCTCCCGACTCTCTTCGAGGTCTAGATTAGCTTGACCAGATATATACCCGAAGTACATTGTACACACTCACAACATAACTATCTCAGAATGACATCTTTTATGTATTTAATAAACTGTCCAGAGAAAAGATTTCCATAAAATTGTCATTCTAGACTCACCTTTTAATCGTTAAAAGTGAGCGCTGCAATATATTTTTAGAAATCGCTGCGCTGTCATTTGCCTAGTACGGGTTCCCATTGAGTGAGCCTTAACACTATAAGATATGCCTCGGTGCAGTTCTGACGCAAGTTTGTCTTACAACCATAGCTTGTATGACAACAAGGTTGACCTACATCTGTGTTACCGGCGAAGTAGTTGGTTTTGGATTAAGTCATCTTTACTGTCTTCTGGAAAGTAAACTTGCCCCACCTGAATTCGACATAAAAGGTATGATTGCTACATGGATAATCCGCAGTAACTTGAATTTGCATGCCATGTTGGGGTTAAATCAATGCGACGTGTTATGTACATATATACATGTATGCGTGTTGTAGTTATGAGCGGTGGGAATTTCCGTTCAGTATGGAATAGTCACTAGTTCGAATCTCACAAATTTGGTATCATTGACTACTCTGAGGGTAGAAGCTATGTTTCATTGGAGAAATCAAACCTAGGTTGTTGTCTTTGAGATTAAAGATGTTGCCTTAGTAGCATCGGCTAGTGGGAATTGCCCATTAAAATTGCGGTGACAAGATATATTTTTTTTTCAAAATTCCGTCCAGTTACACGCCTAACCCTACATATGGTGAATGTTATGTAAGTATAACTAGGGCTCGTTACATACAAGTACTGAAAAGATGTACTATACAGATATAAATGTGCGATCCTGCAGGTCTACATCTTAATCGAGTCGAAAACTATAAGCAATCACTCAAGTGTTAAAAAAATTGTGTGACATTGATAATAAATCATATATATCAAATGTAGGACATTATGAGGTTGTCTTTTCTGTACTAGTGCAGTGTTGCCTAAAACGTCTGTTATATATATACATATATATAATATATAACTGGTAGTCGACTCAATGGCAGCACTGTTTCAACCGCTATTCAATCAGTGATGTACCACTCTCTCTGTGCCACTCTTGTGTTTCTACCACTATTCCATCAGTAATGTAACACTCTCTCTGTGCCTCTCTTGTGTTTCTACCACTATTTCATCAGTAATGTACCACTCTCTCTTTGCCACTCTCATGTGACTACTACTATTCCATCAGTAATGTACCACTATCTCTCCGTGCCACTCTCTCTGTGCCACTCCTGTGTTTCTACCACTATTACATCAGTAATGTACCAATCTCTCTGTGCCACTCTTGTGTGTCTACCACTATTCCATCAGTAATGTAACACTCTCTCTGTGCCTCTCTTGTGTTTCTACCACTATTTCATCAGTAATGTACCACTCTCTCTTTGCCACTCTCATGTGACTACTCTCTCTCTCTCTCTCTCTCTCTCTCTCTCTCTGCCACTCTTGTGTTTCTACCACTATTCCATCAGTAATGTACCACTCTCTCTGTGCCTCTCTTGTGTTTCTACCACTATTTCATCAGTAATGTACCACTCTCTCTGTCCCACTCTCATGTGTCTACCACTATTCCATCAGTATGTACCACTCTCTCTGTGCCACTCTTGATGGTTATTGATAATGTTGATACAGCTAAGGCCTCTCTGGGACTTTTTTTTTACACCATTGATGTTTTGTGGAATTTGTTTCACTACATTGCTATCAAGTTGAGCATATCTTTTCCCAATAGAAATGTTCCAGTCAGTTACAATCCGTTAAAGCAAATCTCATTTCATGTCCCAAGTATCAGAACGATGAGTGTCGACCGCCGAGGGTAGAAGGGGTAAGGTTCAATAGGGATAACCAAGAAAAATACTTTAATCCTTCCTCCTCTGTAGGAATGCCTGGATTGGTCTGAAGTATCCTTGGGTGAAGAGGAACCCATTTTAAACAAGGTGGGGCGAGAGAGATGTGGTCCATTTTGGGATATTCAACAAATTATTTGGATGAAATAATGTGAATTTGTCTAAATTTGGTTTGAGAATAACCAGTTTGGCAGCTACCTTGTAAATCTTTACAATAGCTTTGCTTTATTTTAGGCCTCTTATATTGCACGAGGCAGATCTGATTTAAGTTAGCCTTTGAGAAGAGTACAGGAACCTCATGGAATCAACCTGGTATCTGCTTCGTTGTTGCCAGCTAGGTTAAAGTTGTGCAGCAAATCATGACATGTGTTGGTGTATGTTTCCGGATGTCGGTATTTGGTATGAGGGCAGTGTTGGGGTGATAAACTGAATTTAACGGTGAAATGCTTTTTTTTCTCTCCAAAAAGTGACATTTGGACATATTTTGAGACTTTTTCTTTGTTAAAGGTTTGTAACTTTTTCTTAGTTAACATTTTGTAACTTTTTCTTAGTTAACATTTTGTAACTTTTTCTTAGTGAAAGTTTTGCTTTGATTTAGGAAATGTTCCTGAATATAATTAAACATTTGAACTAGGCTGATGGAATTCGGTTTGATGATAATTTTGTTTTTTTTACAAGCGAATCAATATTTGAACTCTGCTGTTCTCAGACAGCACATGTACTACATCACGTAAATAAAAATTCAACGAGCCTCAAAGAGTATTCTCCAACATCAGACAAGTATTTGCTGCCAAAAAGTTTTTTAAAAAATCCTAACTGAAGTCTTTCTGTTGAATTTTATTGTGATAATTCGCTTTAAAACAAACGTTTTGGATATTCCCCTGTCAGTCTCACAGCCAGCCAGTTGTCTGGTTAACGATACAGTCGATCACGGTTGAATACTAGTTATTATTATATGACTTGCAATTTTCTTGGCCACTAATTGGCTCATTTACAATATGCTCATCGGAAGAAATCATTGCAATTTTCCTGGCCACTAATTGGCTCATTTATAATATGCTCATATGAAGAAGTCATTGCAATTTTCTTGGCCACTAATTGGCTCATTTATAATATGCTCATCTGAAGAAGTCATTGCAATTTTCTTGGCCACTAATTGGCTCATTTACAATATGCTCATCGGAAGAAATCATTGCAATTTTCTTGGCCACTAATTGGCTCATTTACAATATGCTCATCGGAAGAAATCATTGCAATTTTCTTGGCCACTAATTGGCTCATTTACAATATGCTCATCTGAAGAAGTCATTGCAATTTTCTTGGCCACTAATTGGCTCATTTACAATATGCTCATCGGAAGAAATCATTGCAATTTTCTTGGCAACTAATTGGCTCATTTACAATATGCTCATCTGAAGAAGTCATTGCAATTTTCTTGGCCACTGGTTGGCTCATTTACAATATGTTCATCTGAAGAAGTCTTTGGAATTTTCCTTGCCACTGATTGGCTCATTTACAATATGATTATCTGAAGAAATCAATAAATCCATTATAACTGATTTTTCCTGATTTCCTGCGCCACCAATTCTTTAAATTCTCACATTGCTCAAACACGATTATAATAGCACAAAATCTGCTATTCAGGTTGGTATAAAACGATGCAAGAACACTCGTTCGTACCCACATATAATAACAAGGGAATTTCCTATTATCTTGACGTCTTAACAGTGCTCTGGGTTGATAGATCAATCCAACAATACTTGTTGCCTGTTGGGTGACGAGGGACTATTGCTTGTTGAATGATTAGGCATCAGTGTGCTCTGAATTGATAATGAATAGAATGGTTTTGTTCACCTCTGTGGTATGTAGTATGTTTCATGTTAATTTTATTGAATTCTATTAAATATCAAACATTTGATCTAATATCCGATATTCACTCTGTGTTCACTTCATTGACGGGAAATGATCCTATGAAAGTACTTGGGAAACATGTAGTAAAACAATTATCAAACTGTTTTCCTTGTAAGACATACATTGTATTAGTCAACCTGAATGTCATGTACGATGTAATTGTAACACTCTAGCAGGGTAAACGTCACTCAATTTGACAGTCCATTTGCTTTCGTATAATTTTGAAGCGTCATTCAAAATTCCTAAGATCATGTGATGAATACCAAATTCATTCCTAACCTGGTCGTAAACCTTTCACACTAAAATAGTATTCTGTTATAAATCTCTATAAGAGTAATGATATGCAAAAATCATTTTAATTCTGATGTTCTAAGTTGACAGCAGTATTTCTCACAGAACTAGCTGTTTTTCAGCTATTGCCGTTACGTGCACCTTATGATAACATTACTTTCTGTTCATATCATTCCAACTTGTAATTTATTCTGCTTATCAATAACTGTAACACATTATTCCCCCTTTCAGTTTAAAAGAGGTGTGTTATGAAAGTCTTACCTTTTTTGTGATGTATGTATTTGACATTTCCTTAGGATGAGCAAGTGTATATAGGGTTCGTGTCCCAGGATCACGAGTTTACAATATATTCTGGAGATGTTCTCTAGGTAAAAAATCCCGGACATTTTATTTTCATTCTGCCAAACTTTGTTATAACATAATAACTTGTCCTAGTTTTACTATCTTAGTGTTATCGTGTTGCCAGTTGAAAGTCTGTGCTTAGTAAATGATCTCATACTTTTTAAACTGGTTGTGATATAGGAAAGTCTAACAACTTAAGAGACTCGACTGAAAACTCTCTGCTTAGATAGTGTAGAAGATTGTCAATTGTAGATTGAAAACTCCATACTGTCGTCAGACAGTAGATTGAAAACTCGTTACTAGCACGAGAAAGTAGATTGACAACTCGTTACTAACACCAGAACATAGCTTGAAAACTCCATACTATCTTCAGACAGTAGATTGAAAACTCGTTACTAGCACGAGAAAGTAGATTGACAACTCGTTACTAACACCAGAACATAGCTTGAAAACTCCATACTGTCATCAGACAGTTTATTGACAACTCGTTACTAACACCAGAACATAGCTCGAAAACTCCACACTATCTTCAGACAGTAGATTGAAAACTCGTTACTAGCACGAGAAAGTAGATTGACAACTCGTTACTAACACCAGAACGTAGCTTAAAAACTCCATACTGTCGTCAGACAGTTTATTGACAACCCGTTACTGAAGTGAGACAGTTGATTGACAACCCGTTACTGAATTGAGACAGTAGATAGACAACTCGTTACTGGAGTGAGACAGTAGATTGAGAACTCGTTACTGACGTGAGACAGTTGATTGACAACTCGTTACTGAAGTGAAATAGTAGATTGACATTCGTTACTGAAGTGAGACAGTAGATTGACATTCGTTACTGAAGTGAGACAGTAGATTGACAATTCGTTACGGAGACAGTATGTTAGACAATACATGGATCATCCATCGTCAGTATTACATACATGCTTTTCAATGTTTCATTTTCAGTTGCCTCTGGGATACTATCAACGGAAGAATCTAAAAACACACAACGATGCCAGCAGGAGCAGTGCCTTTTCCCTTTGGAGATTGTCGGGTGTGTAATGATCATGCTACAGGTGTCCATTATGGAGTTGCGTCGTGTGAAGGATGCAAGGTAAACTACTTACAACCATTATTAGATTGATACACAACTTTATGTTCGACATTATGTTTAGTATAACATTCAGTGCAGGTAATGTTTTACTTATGGCTCCTATCAACCGTTTCAAACAGAAATGATATGTATGCTAAATGTTGGCTCATCCATACAGATATATAACATCAGGTTCGAGCTGCTAAGAGTTTCAAATGTAAATAATAATGGTAAATATGTTTGATGATAATTGCATGTAACTGGCAAATCCATCGATGTTAACAGTATAATACCTAATTTACCTCAAACGATTCACCTTACGTGGTATGGCCAGGTATGATTTTCAACACATGTATTCACACCTGAGTGACAAACCGTTGATTGTTTAACCAGTAAACAATCAATACGCTACTTTAAACAGAACTTGTATAACGTGAAAGTGTTTCAGTTATAACCGTGTTACAAAATGACTAGAAATAAAAAAAACTGCAACAGAAATTAACTGGAAAACATTTAAAATTTGCATTGTCAATTTAAGTTTTCTTCCCTTATGCACCGAAGGTCAGATCAACTTTTGCCTTTTTTTTTATTCTTTTGTGTTTTTGTCATATGTAGATACAATAGATAAAAATCAACCATAATTCAATAAATGCTTAGTCATTGTTATTACTATTATCGCTATGGACAGCCCCACATCACACCGGGTTCAGTGATATAGGTAACCTAATACGAGAGCTGATCGATAATTGTAAACCTCATATTTAAGAGTTTGACAATCATATTGCAGTATTTTTCAACATAATCCCCTTTTATACACTTTTGCCAGCAACATTTAAGGTCCTCATTCCACTTTGAGGAAATCCTTTTCTTGACTGTTTAGAAAGCCCTCCACACCGCATATATGATGTCATCATCTGACCTAAAGTGGGCACCAGAAATGGCCTTTTTCAATTTTGGAGGTAGATAAAAGTCTGTTGGAGCAAGATCAGCCAAAAAAGGGGGAGTTGGCAAGGGTGAATCAGGGTTCTTCCATTGTTAAGATTGTTGTTTGGCCTCTGGGGTGAAATGATGGACCCAAGTTTCATACATTGTCAAAAACCTTTGCAGTAAGCAGGATCCGCTTCTAAAACGTTCATATTAGCACGTGATCAAGTCCGTCTGGTGTGCTTCTGATCAATTGTCAAAAGTCTTAATACCCAACGGGCTGAGAACTTTCTCATTGCAAGATCTTCTGTAGGAATGGACTGTACTCTTCCCTGTGAAATTCCAACTGTACTGGCTATATATACCTCTGTAACTTGGGGTAACAACAGCGACAGGCCTATAACGACGGGCATCATCCCCACGGCTCTGTCTGCCCTGCTTAAATTCCGCCACCCATTTTTTCACTGTAGCAAAAAAAGGGGAATCATTCCATAGTGTTGCTACCATATCAGGATAGATATTCGTAGGTGGGTTTGAGACCTTTCTTGTGCAAATATTGAATCAATTTTGCAAAAGACACTTGCCTTGTGTACTTTAGAGAGCTACCTCTTCGACATTAACTGAACAAATGACACCTGTCTTCGGGTATACAGCCTTAAATAGTCAGGGAATAGCGGAGCTAAAAAAGGACTTCCCTGCTTAACTTCTTATATACAGGGCCACAAGTTATCAGTCCTCGTAAAATTACAGATGATTATCACAGGCGAATATAACTTTGAAAGTCAATTATGACGGTGTATAGTGAACAAAATCATTGTTATTTTAGTACTACAAGGCATATTGCTATACATTCGGTAAGAGTACTGATACTTTTAATTTGATAAAACCGTGAACAATTCTCACAAAGTAATAAAGACATCCGACATGTCAAATGAATTATGTATAGCTGCAGTTAGTCTATATTTTGTACATCTTTAAAAACTTATATATACTGTCTGTAGAAACAATTCTATGTAATATCAAAATTGGTAAAATACCTGTTTAGCATGCCAAACATGTCCATTGCACAATTTTCCACAATCATCTTTTCATGGTAAATACACTTACATTTTCTATTTTTGTTATATATCATACCACATCAAAAGTAATCTTCTGAAGAATTACTTAAGGTTAGAATGTTTTTATAAACAAAGCTGTATGTATAAAAAGACAATAGAATTGTCATTATAATAAAACTAATAAATACCATATTATCACTCTGTCTTTTCCAATTTCTCAAACATGAAGGAATATTACATTCACATTTTTATCTTTGCTAACCTTGTCTGACATACGAAACAAGGTATTCTCTAAACACAGATATAGGTATTATAATTGTATTTATACTATTTTCAGATAACTCATTCACATGTAAGTCATTACTATTGATTTCTCAGTAAGATCACCTGCTCTCGTGTGTACATAGGTCATACTTGCTGATACCTCTATATATACCTCAGTGGCTGCTGCAAATGAATGTCATTAGATCAGAAGAAATTGTTATTTGTGGGAAATGTTACTCGTACTAACTTCAAAGATAATTACAATTCAGGTTTGTTGAACATAATAGTGTTACTGCTCCATGTGACGTTTAGGGAGACATCATGGCTACTTACCAGCTACCACTAATCTCTGTTTAGAAAGACTTCATGACTACTATCCAGCTACCACTAATATCTGTTTAGAGAGACATCATGTCTACATACCAGTTAACACTAATCTCTGTTTAGAGACATCATGGCTACTTACCAGTTACCACTACTCTCTGTTTAAAGAGACATCATGGATACTAACCAGTTACCACTATTCTCTGTTTAAAGAGACATCATGGCTACTAACCAGTTACCACTATTCTCTGTTAAAGAGACATCATGGCTACTTAACAGCTACCATATATCTCTGTTTAGAAAGACATCATGACTACTATCCAGCTACCACTAATCTCTGTTTAGAGACATCGTGGCTACTAACCAGTTACCACTAATCTCTGTTTAGAGAGACATCATGGCTACTAACCAGTTACCACTAATATCTGTTTAAAGAGACATCATGGCTACTAACCAGTTACCACTAATCTCTGTTTAAAGAGACATCATGGCTACTAACCAGTTACCACTATTCTCTGTTAAAGAGACATCATGGATACTAACCAGTTACCACTATTCTCTGTTAAAGAGACATCATGGCTACTTAACAGCTACCATATATCTCTGTTTCGAGAGACATCATGGCTACTAACCAGTTACCACTATTCTCTGTTAAAGAGACATCATGGCTACTTAACAGCTACCATATATCTCTGTTTAGAGAGACATCATGGCTACTTACCAGTTACCACTAATATCTGTTTAAAGAGACATCATGGCTACTAACCAGTTACCACTATTCTCTGTTAAAGAGACATCATGGCTACTAACCAGTTACCACTAATATCTGTTTAAAGAGACATCATGGCTACTAACCAGTTACCACTATTCTCTGTTAAAGAGACATCATGGCTACTTAACAGCTACCATATATCTCTGTTTCGAGAGACATCATGGCTACTAACCAGCTACCACTAATCTCTGTTTAGAGAGACATCATGGCTACTAACCAGCTACCACTAATTTCTGTTTAAAGAGACATCATGGCTACTAACCAGTTACCACTATTCTCTGTTAAAGAGACATCATGGCTACTTAACAGCTACCATATATCTCTGTTTCGAGAGACATCATGGCTACTAACCAGCTACCACTAATCTCTGTTTAGAGAAACATGGCTACTAACCAGCTACCACTAATCTCTGTTTAGAGACATCATGGCTACTAACCAGCTACCACCTACCACTAATCTCTGTTTAGAAAGACATCATGGCTACTAACCAGCTACCATTTATCTCTGTTTAGAGACATCATGGCTGACTTATTGAGAGACCCAACCCAATAAATTTACCATCCCATATTTGCTTTTTCAATTTTTGATGGTATGTATCTTCAAACATCATCAATTAAACTTGGGAATGGGAATGATCCTGCGTCACCACCCATATAATTAACATTAACCCACAGTGTTACCTAATTACACCGATGTCGGCTCCATACTTGCCTGCCTTGTCCAAAGTTATTGCCATGAACTAACTGGGATGGGTGACTGTCCCAATGTCCCTACTGGGAGGAAGACATTCTGGACTTAAATCTTCTTGATTATCACACCTGTAGGTGCTTCTGGTCATGCTTCCCACAACCGCGACAACATCAGCGCTTCACCAAACCGTCTTACAATCTGTCGTCTGTTTGGACATTGTGCTGTACCCCTGGGATGTGGTGTTTAATCTCTTTTCCTTTGCTTCTGATCTTTACTCATCTTAGATGGCGGCCGATTGATGTCAACTTTTTTCTAATGATCGCGAGTAATTTTACTTTAGTTGGATCACCAAACTGGTGACGTCACGACTACACTAAGTAATGACGAGGTACACCATAACCCTTCCCTGATTGATTCAGGATGATTGTTTGGGGAGCTACAAACAAATTAAACACTGATTAAAGGGAAAATTCAGTACAGATGACAAATTTCTGTAATGTTATACTCTCTTATGACCTTAAGAAGTATCATCAGCATATCTTCCCCTTCATCAGTTCAAACAATACAGATTGATGGAAGCACAACTGGCCATTTCAAAATTAGACTGCTGCCTAAGTTCATTTGTATTGCACTTCAGCAAGTTCTGATTTTGAAAACGAAACTAGTCAAGTTTACAAAAAGACCGTTGAATAACACCTTTCGGTATGAGCTATTTACTGTAGGGTCAAATTATTAATTAAATTGTATCATACAACTGTTTCGTCCAACCAGAACTTTTGTTGGCGGTGCCAAGACCCTATGTAGATGGGGAGTAGCACTTCCCAAATAATTCAATAGGTTTTGCAATTTTCATATATGTTATTTGTAGAAGAAGGTCAAATACACATGTATGTATTAAAACGTGACATACAAATTTTGATTTGTACAAAAAAAACCCATATTTCTATTTTGTAATAAAAAAAACTGTGTTCTTAGTTATTTTATTAACAACCTTTGTTCTTGGTTACTATATAAATAATGTTTATGTTTGTCCTTTGATACGTTATTTACCATTGTCCTTAGTTACGATATTAACCTTTATCTTTAGTTACGATATTAACCTTTATCCTTAGTTACGATATTAACCTTTATCCTTAGTTACGATATTAACCTTTGTACTTAGTACTTAGTTACGATATTAACCTTTATCCTTAGTTACGGTATTAACCTTTATCCTTAGTTACGATATTAACCTTTGTACTTAGTTACGATATTAACCTTTATCCTTAGTTACGGTATTAACCTTTATCCTTAGTTACGATATTAACCTTTGTTCTTAGTTACGATATTAACCTTTATCCTTAGTTACGGTATAAACTTTGTACTTAGTTACGGTATTAACCTTTATCCTTAGTAACGATATTAACCTTTGTCCTTGATAACGATATTAACATTTGTTCTTGTTTACTGTTAAAGTAATGTTTACATTTGTCCTCAGTTACGATATTAACCTTTGTACATAGTTACGTTATTAACAATTGTCCTTAGTTACGATATTAACCTTTGTCTTTAGTTACGATATAAATCTTTGTTTTAGTTACGTTATTAACCTTTGTCCTTAGTTGCGATATAAACCATTGTCCTTAGTTACGATATTAACCTTTGTCTTTAGTTACGATATAAATCTTTGTTTTAGTAACGCTATTAACCGTTGTCTTTAGTTGCGATATAAACCATTGTCCTTAGTTACGATATTAACCTTTGTCTTTAGTTACGATATTAATCTTTGTTTTAGTAACGTTATTAACCTTTGTCTTTAGTTGCGATATTAACATTTTAGTATTCACTGTTTTCTTTTGTTATTCACTGTTTTATTTTGTTATTCGCTGTTTCATCTTTTGGTATTCACTGTTTTTGTTTGGTATTTACTGTTTTATTTTGGTATTCTCTGTTTTATTTTGTTATTCACTGTTTTATTTTGTTATTCTCTGTTTTCTTTTGTTATTCACTGTTTTATTTTGTTATTCACTGTTTTATTTTGTTATTCGCTGTTTCATCTTTTGGTATTCACTGTTTTTGTTTGGTATTCACTGTTTTATTTTGTTATTCACTGTTTTATTTTGTTATTCACTGTTTTATTTTGTTATTCGCTGTTTCATCTTTTGGTATTCACTGTTTTTGTTTGGTATTCACTGTTTTTGTTTGGTATTCACTGTTTTTGTTTGGTATTCACTGTTTTTGTTTGGTATTCACTGTTTTATTTTGGTATTCACTGTTTTATTTTGTTATTCACTGTTTTATTTTTTGTTATTCACTGTTTTATTTTGTTATTCACTGTTTTTGTTTGGTATTCACTGTTTTTGTTTGGTATTTACTGTTTTATTTTTGGTATTTACTGTTTTTGTGTTGTATTCACTGTTTTTGTTTGGTATTCACTGTTTTTGTGTGGTATTTACTGTTTTTGTGTGGTATTTACTGTTCTTGTTTGGTATTTACTGTCTTATTTTTTGTGTTTACTGTTTTTGTTTGGTATTCACTGTTTTTGTGTGGTATTTACTGTTTTGTTTGGTATTCACTGTCTTATTTTTGGTATTTACTGTTGTATTTGGTATTCACTGTTTTTGTGTGGTATTTACTGTTTTTGTTTGGTATTTACTGTTTTTGTTTGGTATTTACTGTTTTATTTTTGGTATTTACTGTTTTTGTGTGGTATTCACTGTTTTTGTGTGGTATTCACTGTTTTTGTTTGGTATTTACGGTTTTGTGTGGTATTCACTGTTTTTGTTTGGTATTTACTGTTTTATTTTTGGTATTTACTGTTTTGTTTGGTATTTACTGTTTTGTTTGGTATTTACTGTTTTTGTTTGGTATTCACTGTTTTATTTTGTTATTCACTGTTTTATTTTGGTATTCACTGTTCTGTTTGGTATTTACTTTTGTAGTTTGATATTCACTGTTTTATTTTAGTATTCTCTGTTTTATTTTGGTATTCACTGTTTTGTTTGGTATTCACGGTTTTTGTTTGGTATTTACTGTTTTGTTTGGTATTTACTGTTTTTGTTTGGTATTTACTGTTTTTGTGTGGTATTTACTGTTTTATTTTTGGTATTTACTGTTTTAGTTTGGTATTCACTGTTTTGTTTGGTATTTACTGTTTTGTTTGGTATTTACTGTTTTGTTTGGTATTCACTGTTTTTGTGTGGTATTCACTGTTTTTTGGTATTCACTGTTTTTGTGTGGTATTTACGGTTTTGTGTGGTATTTACTGTTTTAGTTTGGTATTCACTGTTTTGTTTGGTATTTACTGTTTTGTTTGGTATTTACTGTTTTGTTTGGTATTCGCTGTTTTTGTGTGGTATTCACTGTTTTTTGGTATTCACTGTTTTTGTGTGGTATTTACGGTTTTGTGTGGTATTTACTGTTTTAGTTTGGTATTTACTGTTTTTGTTTGGTATTTACTGTTTTTGTGTGGTATTTACTGTTTTTGTGTGGTATTTACTGTTTTATTTTTGGTATTTACTGTTTTAGTTTGGTATTCACTGTTTTGTTAGGTATTTACTGTTTTGTTTGGTATTCACTTTTTTTGTGTGGTATTCACTGTTTTTGTTTGGTATTTACTGTTTTATTTTTGGTATTTACTGTTTTGTTTGGTATTTACTGTTTTGTTTGGTATTCACTGTTTTTGTGTGGTATTCACTGTTTTTTGGTATTCACTGTTTTTGTGTGGTATTTACTGTTTTGTGTGGTATTTACTGTTTTATTTTTGGTATTTACTGTTTTAGTTTGGTATTCACTGTTTTGTTTGGTATTTACTGTTTTTGTGTGGTATTTACTGTTTTATTTTTGGTATTTACTGTTTTAGTTTGGTATTCACTGTTTTGTTTGGTATTTACTGTTTTTGTGTGGTATTCACTGTTTTTGTTTGGTATTTACTGTCTTATTTTTTGTGTTTACTGTTTTTGTTTGGTATTCACTGTTTTTGTGTGGTATTCACTGTTTTTTGGGTGTTTTTTGGTATTCACTGTTTTTGTGTGGTATTTACGGTTTTGTGTGGTATTTACTGTTTTAGTTTGGTATTCACTGTTTTGTTTGGTATTTACTGTTTTTGTTTGGTATTCACTGTTTTTGTGTGGTATTTACTGTTTTTGTTTGGTATTCACTGTTTTTGTGTGGTATTTACTGTTTTAGTTTGGTATTCACTGTTTTGTTTGGTATTTACTGTTTTGTTTGGTATTTACTGTTTTGTGTGGTATTTACTGTTTTTGTTTGGTATTTACTGTTTTGTTTGGTATTTACTGTATTTGTTTGGTATTCACTGTTTTTGTGTGGTATTTACTGTTTTAGTTTGGTATTCACTGTTTTAGTATTGATGTACTTCCTGTATATTCATGTTAACATTTCATTGTATGGATGTTAATCTTTGTTTAAAATTATGTTAATCCTTCAGTGTTTTTATGTTAACCTTCATTGTGTTTTGTTTTACTGCATTGTTTTTACGTTAAACCTTAATCTAATTGATGTTAACCCTTCATTGTGTTTTTGTTTTACTGCATTGTTTTTACGTTAAACCTTAATCTAATTGATGTTAACCCTTCATTGTGTTTTTGTTTTACTGCATTGTTTTTACGTTAAACCTTAATCTAATTGATGTTAACCCTTCATTGTTTTTATGTTAACCCTAGCAGTTATTTCTATTTATAAGTACGTGTTTCGCTGAACATATAAATTCTCAGGTATACAGGCTGCAGTCAACACTTATCATTTTATTTTACATTTGAAGGGATTCTTCAAGAGGAGCATAACAAGAGAAGAAAAGTACAAATGTTTCTTTGGAGGCTCATGTGCATTAACACCACAAAACAGAAGCCGGTGTAAAGCATGTCGCTTTCAAATGTGCTTGAAACAAGGCATGGCAGTGGATGGTAAGTATATGTTATTTACAATACATCACATGGTGCGAAATTTGTGCAGTGTTTACAATACGTCATGCTGCTACGCATCTACAAATAAGTCACATGATGAATGCAAGGTAAAGTATCAACAACTGATCAGTGATTACAGTCTATTTTTTGCTAACTGATTATGACTGAATTTGGTACATAACTATAAAATTACAAGCCAAAAAGATGTATTATTTACAACTTGTGTTGTAATTGCTGATATTCCGTCCACATGCAAATTGTAGTATGAGACTGTACACAACAGGATGCAATGTTTCATACTGTGTTGGAATAAAACTATTCCTTATAAAACAGAAAATGCCACCGTTACTTTCGATCTCAATATATTTATTATCCAAAGCTTTAATACTTAAGTTAGAAGTTTGAGAAACATCCTTCATGACTCAACATATCTTTCCAATTATGACAGAACAAATTTTAAATGTCAAACATGTAATTTGGTAAGAAAAGAAAAAAGAAAATACCGACATGTTAATGGAATTTTGTTTCAAACAAATAAAATAATTGAAATAAGAGTAAAATATAAACAGAAAAAAATTAACACGGAAACTCCTGAAAATAGTACAAGGAGAAATAGATACGATTTATCTGAAAGGTAAGTGCCTTCTACATCTTTGACGACATCTGGTAAATCCATGTAAGCATCATCACGTTCCTAAAAAAGACAAGCTTAAGAACAATAGTAACACCAGGTACGAAATCATTATTAGAGGTGTAAAGTTCATGTGATAGTCTGCGGATGGAATTCGTTACAAATAATCCTTGTAATCCTTGCCAATAATTGGCAGGAACAACTTCCATTTAGGATTCACGTTGCTGTTCTGTTCTGAAAATAACATCAATCCACAAAACAGAAAAGTCCATATTCCCTGAGAAACACGATACTATTGCATTCGTATCGAATGGACACTCAGCTTCTGAATGTTGACGTGCAATTAACATATTTTATTCCAAACCAACAAAAATAGTAGAATAATATAATCATTAAGTCACCTGAGACCAATTCTCACGGTAACCTATTTTAAAACCCTTCATCTGGCAATTTAACACGTTCTACTTCTTCTCAAACATCCCTGATCCAATTTCAGTGAAATTTTGCAGAAACCGTCCCTGCCCTAAGATGAACCAAAATTGTGAATTATACAGTCCCCACCCCCCGGGGCCTGAGGGACGGGGCTAAAAGGGTTCAAATTGACTCAGATTTCAAGTCTTCTTCTTAAGACCCAGATATGGTAGAATCAAATACTTTTCATGAATGAAAGCATCTTAAGGTGCTTTACCATTTCATGGCCCCAGGGTCTCACATTTCCCCGTGGGGAGGGGGTAAAGTTTACTATAGTTTACATAGGAAAACTAAATTTTTGAGCATAATGTGTTTAATTTCCATTGGAAATATTTCAAACTTGGTCCGAATTATGAGTGAATGATGACGGCTTGATGGTATGCCCATTTTGATCCTGACTGACCCCCAGCGGCTGATGGGCGGGGCCAAAAGGGGTCAAATCGACTTAAATTTCAAAAATCTTCTCAAGATCCAGATATGAATAAATAACTTTGTAAGAATTATCAGTATAGGATGACAGTTTTGATGGTATGCTTGTATTGACACTGTCTATATTCAGTGTCACAATTTCTGTTCCATGATACTTTATAACTATCCTTTAACCTTTATATTCAATATTGCTTGTCTCAGGTGACCGTCAAGATGCGTACTCTTGTTCAGGTTTACCACAACGCGACATCAAATTTCAAAGCCAGTACTTATTTGAAGTACCGTTATGCGACCTATATATTCGTTTGGTGTACATAGAAGGCTCAAACTAGGTCTCCTTTGTTTGGCATATAAAACTTTCAATTTTGCATTGAAATATTCCAGTTGTGCAGAGAGAGATATTGAGCGTAACCCTTGGAGTCTTGAGCATTGTCAACTGCATGTATCATATCGGTCCGATTAATGATGGCAAATGATACGTGCATGTACAAAAATGAGTACAATAGCCAATTAATTATTATGGTAATTATGGTTAATTACATACTGTTTTTTGTTGGACATAATCTATATCGTTTAATTACATACCTTATTTCTTATTTGAAGTATATAACTCATTATCGCTGTTATCATTAATGTCACTCAGACACTAAAACCTTTATAACATGTTCATCAAAATGTTCTTATAGTCATTATTATGCTCTGTTTATTTTTGAATTATTTCCTTAAGATAGAAAGTCCTAAGATATTTTGATCTAAATCATTATTAAACATATTCTCCTGAAAAAAAATAGATACATTATTACAATAAAATAATTGATGGTGTAATAATAATCTACCGCTCGACTTAAGCCAATTCCTACAAGTCAAGACTGGTACCACTTCTTCACTACCTCCTTCACAAAGTATTTGACCCAAAAGACAACAAACCCGGCTCGATATTTCCAATTAAGCATCTCAATCTCTTATAATTTATATACCCTTGAGGTGGTTAACAACACCAAATCTGTCACAGGAGAAGTAATGAGAGTAATGAGCGATCCTTTGATCACAAGCCAAACACTCTTGCTCTCCAACAGCTTGGTTCACTTTTCATTTTGTTAATATAGCCTCCTTTTCAATACGTATCGTCAATTTGTTTAGATAAATCTTGAGATTGTGCTATTTTAAGGAAAGAATTTACGTAATCAAACTAGGTTGTCAAATACACTTGAGAAAATTTGAATAGACAAACGAAAGATTGTATAAAACATATAAAATCCAAATTTAGAGTAAGATACAGAAGAACCCACCAATGATTTAAAATGCATCGTACAGCTGTTTCTTCTAGGACTCGTCGGTGATATCCTACAATTTGAAGTGTAGATACAAATAATAACATATATCGACTTGAATATAGACTAAACTTGTACCACTTCTACAACATAGATACAGATAATATCATATATCGACTGGAGCTATCGACTTAACTTCTACCAAATCTACAACATACAGATAATAATATATAGATGTCATCCAAACATTGTATTTCAGTTGACAGCTGACATATTGTTACAAAATCCCATTCATGTCATCATTCACAGTTTATTGGATATCAATGAAATCATGTGTTCACTAGTTGAAACATATTTTCTCATTTTGCAGCCGTGAAAATGGGTAGAATTCCAAAGTTGGAAAAAGAAAAAGCCCTGAGAGATTTCAATATGAACCAATCTTTGGCCAATGTGTCTGATGTTTTCAGCTCATCGCAAACAACATTTCATTCTACCACCTCATCAACTTCACAGCAGAATTTCTCGACAGTTTCGCCACAACCAACACAAAAAATGATTTCTGGAGCTCATTCTTTACCATTTCAACAAAAGTTCTCCACAACTCTTTCACCACCAACAGAACAAAAACAAAATTTCTCTGCTACTCTTTCATTACAACCACCACAAAATCAACAAAAAAGCTTCTCTTCAACTGTTTCATTACCACCACAACAGATTTGTTCCTTGGCTCCTTCAAATACTGTACATTCAAATTTATTGTGCTCTTGTTCCTCATCTTCACAAGAGAAAATTGCCTCCACTACATTGTTTGATCGTCAGTCAAATCTGGAATCAACAACTGATGTTGATAAGACTCCTGATGAAGACAAAACAATGCACCCCAAATATTTTCTTGAGCTTGATAAACATCCCACTGCAGAAAAAAACTATTTTCTTGAGCTTGATAAACATCACACAGCAGATAAGAACTACTTTCCTGAGCCTGATAAACGTCCCACAGCTGACAAGAACTATTTTCCTGAGTTTGATAAGGATCATTCAGCAGTATGGAGGACAAATCGTGTTTACCATGATCAGAGAGACGATGATGAAAAGCCGTTATCTACAGAAACCAGAAATAGCTCACAGAAGGCACAATATCACCAAACTGAAGATCGACTCTTCAATAGCGACTTTGATATACTGAAAGGGAAGCATTACCCAAGCTTTGGCGAACAATACAACTGGGACCCCCCGACAGCAGCGAAAACAACAAAGATGCCAGATTCAATGGAGAATTTTCCTTCTCTTGTTAATGAGGCTGTATATGTTATGAACCAGACGTCACTTGACGAAACACCCTTCCGTCAGCAGCAAGAATATTCGTCAGCTATATCACAGTCTCAGCACACAGGAAGAACGATGGAACCTGGATTGGTACCCATGCAGCACACTGAAAGACAGGAATCAGCAAGCAAGTACAATAACGGTGACAGAGAGCAGCAAGAACAAGACTTTCAACAAGGAGTTCATTATGGTGAGAAAGTTTTGCAAGAGGATGTCAAAGACAATAATAAACCTAGTAGTTCTAATCAAATGTACTGGAGAGGAAATTCAAATGGTTTCGATCTTGTTGGAAACGACAATCGATGTGCTACCCAAACTGCAGTCCCGCATGAAAATGGTTCAAAACGAAATGATGAGTCTGGTACTGAAGAAAATGATAAAGTGGACAAGATGGTACCTGGTATGGAGATCGACATAAATGAGAGGAGGCTGGCGAGACCTGGTAACACTGCCAGTGTGGGGATAATGGTTATGGATTCTGAAAGGTTGGGGCTTGTTGAAAGCACAATCGAAAGGATGAAACCGATAGTCGATACCTTCTACATATCATTGAAGGAAAAGAGAGCAACCATTCAAGACTATTTTGATAAAAAGGTGGGTACTTGTATTAAAATTATTTATGTTCATGACACCTTTATTGGGGATCTAATAACTAGCTAAGAATACTGAAATAGTGATTCTGTGTTTTGTCAAGGACTGTTATATAAAAAATGCATATATTAATTGGGTTGTCGTTAAAGCTGATGATTGGGTTGTAGATAAAGCTGATGATTGGTTTGTAAATAAAGCTGTTTATAAGGTTGTTGATAAAGCTGTTAATTAAGATGTTGACAAATCTGTTTATTGGGTTGTCGTTAAAGCTGATGGTTGGGTTATAGATAAAGCTGATGATTGGGTTGTAGATAAAGCTGTTTATAAGGTTGTTGATAAAGCTGTTAATGAGGTTGTTGACAAATCTGTTAATTGAGTTGTCATTAAAACTGATTATTGGGTTATAGATAAAGCTGTTGATATGGTTGTAGATAAAGCTGTGTTAGGTTGTAGATAAATTTGATTATTTGGTTGTCGTTAAAGCTGATTATTGTGTTTTAGATAAAGCTATTTATTTTGGTGTAGAAAAAGCTGTTTATTGGGTTGTCGATAAAGATGTTTATTATGTTGTTGATAATACTGGTTATTAGGTTTAGATAAATCTGATCATTTGGTTGTAGATAAATCTGACCATTGGGTTGCTGACTTCAACAGATGCCCACTTATATGAACATGTACCTATTGGGCGACCATGAATTTCTAATTTAGGTCTCTCGCTGTGATGTAAGCCTTTCCTGCTGCTTTCGACATCTAATGATTGACGAAAACATTGGCCTATATCTTTCAAAATACAATGAAACCATTATAAAAACATACCTTTTTCCGTCTGCTGTCGATACTGATAATGATTTTTTTTTGCAACAGATGCCCACGACAGTAGAATTGGTGTTAATGGTGTTCATGGCATAAGTACAATGAGCTATTAATTAAATGATCTCAGTCGTAGGCTGTCTCGATTACAGTAAGCGGGAAAAGCTGTTGAGTTGATATAGACTGCCATTAGTTGTATCTTGTGCTTCCTTTTCCACACATGATTGCTTCGAAAGTCTTATTGTTTAGGCCATTTCTTAAAATCCGTGTTCTTTTATTTATAGGTGACAATGCAGTTCACAAACACAGATAATATCAGAGAAGTGTGGAAGTTGCTTATGATCTCTCTTGCAAAAGTAAATGAAAGAAATATCGGTAAGTAGTCTCTACACATCTTTTACATTCATTTCCGTGTATTCAAATTCCCATCACTTGTTCATAAAATGCAGCTTTCTGATTTGTCTATTTTTTCCTTTCATTTCCAAATGAAAAAAACACATCTCGACATACTCGAATGATGATGATTGATGGGGTCAGTGCCAACATACCACCTTATGGCAGGTCTGTCGGAACTCCTTATAAGTCATCATAAGACAGATGGTGGGCTATTCAAATTGTCCTGCGTCTGTGGTCCTTTGTTCCCTTTGCTCTCGACTTTTGTCCATTTAATTTTGGGACTTCCAGGCGACCATTATTTGGCAGGTAAATAATTTCATCACAATTTCTGCAAAGGAATGTTCAAATGTCTTATCATAAAGAACAAAAACGGAGAAGAGAAAAGACGGGAAAAGATCCAACTTTCAAGGAGCATATAAAGATCAAACAATGGTGGACGCCAAGATCCCTCTGGGATCTCTTGCTTGTATATCTGTTTACATATACACCTGGTACGTGTGTGGATCACTGCATTCAATGATGTTAACGAAACAAAACATTTAATATCTTACAATGTTCACAAAAAATAAACAACGACCGAATAATGGATTTACCAAGGAAAATTATATTTTTACTCATTTTGAACTTCGGGCTGAAAACAATAGAACACCACCAGATCAATAAGTCATCTGCTTATAGATTTTGTATCTGTCTTTTCTCGCTGAAAATGATATTCTTAATTAAGAGCTAGATGAGAATCTAGTAAATCTCAGTGTCACCCTATATATTGTAACAGAATCAGCCAGAAGTGCTAGCAAAGTTGTTATTCTCCCACTCACAACTCTCACAAATCACTACTGCTAACTATCCAACAAACTCTTTCTGACTGACTACATATGTAAACAAACTATCTCTCACGCTTTCGGTGCCCCTCTCTCCATTGTCTGACACTATACCTTCCTTTTGGAATGTAACAGGCCAACTCATGAATGAATTTTGATGACTGAAAGTGGCGAGAATGAGCTGTCATTGACATTAAGTCATTTCACTCAATCCTTCATTCAAATTTACGCATCGCTTTGTTATTTTTGTTTTTGAAACGTATCAAAGAAATCAATGAAAAGCTATGATGGGAATATTTTTAGTTGCAAATCAAAATCGTCATAGGACCATTCCTAGCAAAACGTTTTTAATGTACTTAGGCACAATATAAGTATAGCTGGTATACAACATTTTACATAAACACTGCATAAGTATAGATTGTGTACAACATTTTATATAAACACTGTATAAGTATAGATGGTGTACAACATTTTACATAAACACTGTATAAGTATAGATGGTGTACAATATTTTATATAAACACTGTATAAGTATAGATGGTGTACAATATTTTATATAAACACTGTATAAGTATAGATGGTGTACAACATTTTATGTAAACACTGTATAAGTATAGATGGTGTACAACATTTTACATAAACACTATATAAGTATAGATGGTGTACAGCATTTTATGTAAACACTGTATAAGTATAGATGGTGTACAATATTTTATATAAACACTGTATAAGTATAGATGGTGTACAACATTTTATATAAACACTGTATAAGTATAGATGGTGTACAACATTTTACATAAACACTATATAAGTATAGATGGTGTACAGCATTTTATATAAACACTGTATAAGTATAGATGGTGTACAGCATTTTATATAAACACTGTATAAGTATAGATGGTGTACAATATTTTACATAAACATTTTGTATATTGTTGTCATAACCTTTACTTTCTATTATCTAAAAAAAATTTCGTTCATGATAGTTATAATATTTTCATGTCTAATGATTTCTGTTTTCCTATTCATCCGAAAATTTCAAAATGTATTATATTCATTTAATTTGGAAAAATCATAAAGAAAATATCAACATGTCAACAAAACAAAATCCCATCTCAAATTCCAAAACAAGTATGAAGAAAACAAAGTTTAACACCGAGACTCCTGAAAATGTACAAGGAGAATAAGACCAGGTGTTTCAGAAGTGTAAGCATAAGCTAGTACTAACTCATAGAAGCATAGTATTATCTGTTGTATCTTTTATTATTTGCAGCGTTTTGTTCTGGTGTGCCTGGGTTCACCAATCTTGCGTCCAGTGATAGGCAGAAGCTAACGTTACGTGCTTATCTGGACATCTGGATGGTATGTAAAATCTACTTATATTGTGAACCGCTTTACTACGGAAACGTATATGAACCTATACATTGTACTTATCAATTATGAACCTGTAATGAGAACAATGTGATGTTATATCAACCTGGTGGGACAATATAAAAAATTTTAAGTTATTTGATTGTGATATTATTTTTATATTATTTACGCACAGGTATTGTGATTATTGCCTTGTATACATTTATGAAATAGACTTTTAAACTGAACATTCATCAAACAGATAACACAACAAATCAACAAATATGATTATTTTCTTGACAAATCTCTTGAAATATTTCTAACAAATAAAATTTCTGAATAAAAAAATATCACCTACGATGTAGCATTACAAGAATCACAAAACAGCTGTATGATGCAACTTAACACATTGGTCGGCACTGTTGTCTCTAATTCTAAATTTGTAATGAGAGTTGTTCTTCTATTGTGTGTTTTTGTTCAATCCTAGATACATAGGATGCATGTTCAGTGAACAGCGGACATTCTTGTACACAATATGGTCATGAATTGCTACCATCACTGCATGACCAATGTGTATGAATCAAAGTGTTGTGCTCTTTAGTTTGCAATCTTCGTTACCGTTATTTTTGAAGGTCTACTGTAAAAATATTTTTGAAACTGAATGCACATGTCCACGTGGTATGTAACTGTGCATTCTATATTTTGAGCTTCATCGAATATTAAAGACATTCGATAGCAATCATTTGGAGTGTGTAACTGTAAGATTACTCCTTAAATCTGTTAAGATAAGCTCATTTTTTAGCCCGGGTCGAATGCAATATTTAAAGTGGCGTTGAATAATCAAGATAACTCAAAATGATTGATGAATTTGATGTTTAAATTCTGTTGGTCATTTTCTTTAGAAGTGTATGCTCAGTAAGAACATATCACATTTTTGTATATTGGAGATGGCAGCCAGAAATCACTGTGAATTTTGAGGTTTGTTTCTCGTTACTTGTACAAACATATACTAGTCATTAATTGAGTATGTTCTCACTTTAAAAGTACAATTCCAAACATAACAATAGGAAGTACCAAACATGTTAACACAGGTCATTCAATTCTGACATAGAAGTGCAAGTGTAGCGATATGTCAGGTTTTCGATAACCCTAGTGATCTGGGCTTCGTTGTTGATCCTCATATCTGAATAAGTGTTGTTACTGATTCATTAGCAGAACAACTTACCTTCATGTTGTTATGTTCGTTTGATGAATTAGAATTATATATTAGAATTTCAGGAATGTTCTATTCTCGATCACCTAAGCCAATCTCCCAGTGTATTGTTGAAAAAAAATCATGAAAAATATCAATATGTTAACAGAATCATAATCCAAACTCAAATTCCATAAAACTTGTGCAAAATACGAACAAAACAAATATTTACACAGATACTCCTTAAAAAAGCGCAAGGAGAATAAGACCAGGTGTTCTGGGAGAATAAGCATATTTTGCTGCATCGATGACACTTGTCATGTAAACCTTGGTCAATCCAAATAAGTAATTTTACATTCTCAAATGAGAACAATGGAACCAACAGGCAAGCTAATGAGCATCAAACACAAAAACAGGTATAGTTCATGTCACAAATAGAAAAAAGATATTTCTCATTGAGATCAAAATGGCGACCATAATAATTTCCCATAATTTTCATTAAGCTTCATCTTTTGAAACTCTGTGTTTCTAGTTTGTCAGACAGTTGACGACTCCTTGCACGAAATCGTGATTATGGAAACAGATCCTTGAATATCAAATCAACAGTGACATGTAAATACCATAGGGTGGGAATGAAGGTTTATTGTTATCCAGAAATGGTAAAATTACACTAGAGAAATTGAAACCATCATGTTTATCATATGGCTTTGTGGAAAGCTGTCTATGTTGGTTTTGTTGATTGATATTAGCATCTGATGTAGATGAATCAGTCGTGTCTTGGATTTCCAATTCTGGTTGGTATATATGATGGACAGGATCAATAAATTTCTTGTGATTTAAAGACAAGGTGTCATCAATATTAGAATGTTATAGTATGTTATAAGAAAAATATGCTAGTACCTGAATCTAGCAGTTTTTTTCATTATGCGATAAAAATGCTTCGGAAATCCCTACACTGGAAGGCGATCAACAACCTTGAAAATGGCATTATAGTATAATACAAGTATTTAAGAGGAAAGAAAAAATGAATGAAGGGCGGGCGACGAAATCCCAAAGAGATCTATTGTTCATTGCTATATTTTCATTGAGTTTTTGCTTTTTTTCAGATATCTTGTAGTGAATTCTTCATTGACGAGGAGAGTTACATTATCCTCAAAGAGGGGTTTTTCTACAGTAGGTTGACGATGACTGAATTAATGAATGCCAGTATAGTAAACAAAATGTTTCTATTCACAAAAAAGCTCAACAAACTGGATTTATCAGACTTTGAACTGGGAGTTTTGTGTGCTGTTCAGTTACTGACAGCAGGTATGTTCTATATCCGAATCAGGAAAAAACAGTTTATAGTTTCAATCTAAGTTAGATGTTTATTATTTCCATTGTGAACGGGATATAAAATATAATTAGGTAATAGACGTTCGCCATCAATCGTTGTGTTTTGTATATGCTTCATCTAGACTCGGGTAACAGGCAGATAATTGTTTCAAGAATTACGTTGTAATTTACATCACTGCCTTCTCATTTGTAGCTTTGTTGCCATGTTTTAATTTATTTGCAGATTTTCGGACAATCTGAGTATATCAATTACATGTAAGTATGTAACAATAAAACATGTACATACCAGTAACACTAACTGAATGTTATGTTTGTTTAAGATGAAATGGAGCTTGAAAACCGGGAGGCGGTCGAGGAGCTGCACTCTCATTATCTAGATGTCTTTATCCACACGGTGTCCCGGAACCACCCAGCAACAAGCAGTCGTCTACTAGTGGAAGTGTTTCGGCTTATTCCACTCCTTTATGATATCAACAAAGTCAACTCGGAGTTGATGGCAAGATCTAATATGAATGGTCCTGATTTGAAGTAGACCTTTAGTTTATCTTATAGTATCCATCAACAGGGAAGATTTTAGGATATTTTTGTGAAGGTTAACAAGAGACTTCAGGTGGGTTTTTTTTTTTTTGGTTTTTTTTTTATCAAAATAAGTCCTCAGGAACAACGAATTAGATCTAGACTAAATTACATGTAGAATAAATCAGTAGTCTTTAAAGTCTCCATGTCTCTTACCTTATATAATATTCTTTCTATCTATCTAATTTTATCACTAAATTAAGACTTCAAAAGTTAAAGATTTTATTGACTGAATTCGTTATATTTTCCATGTTGTGTATAATCGTTTTAAAGATGGGTTAGTTGCTCTCGAATTGGAAAAATATGCTTCATGGAATAGGTTATCAAACACAATTTTCGTGCAAGGACTCATCGATTGACGGACAAACTCGTAACAAGTTTTCAAAAGATACCAGTTGATGAAAATTATGGGATGCTTTACAGTTGTTATAGTAGTCATATTGGGATTATGTTTTTTGTGTAATATGAAGCTGGGCGTGTTTAGTTTGCCGGTTGGTTCTGGTGTAGTATAATTCTCATTTGGGAATGTGACCTTACACATCGAAGCAGAAAACTTGATATTATTCGCATTTTCCCGAGAGTCTCTGTGTAAATCTTTCTTGTATCTTCTTCTAATTTAATTGAATGTGAGTTAATTGCTTTAATTCTTGATACAACCAATTTACTCATCTCGATGTAGGACTCTTTGATGCTGAAAGAAGCCATTTCCGTCTGTAATGTGTTGATTGTATACTCGAACCCGGATTCTAATAAATTACCAGTTTCTCCTATGCAGTGCTTATTACATCGCAAGCATATTGTTACATAGATTATTTTTTTCCGCAAACCTTTAGGAAGTTCCATCTTGTAGAAATTCACATGTGCCGCATTATGGATCTTTCCTCTTTGTAACTTGCTTTTCTTTCTAAATTATATTTGCATAATAGTCTTCTTAGATTTAATTATTAATTAAGATTAAGTGAACATTTAGATTGGGACAAATCAGTTTTAAGATATTTTCATTTTATTAACTATTTTCAGAAAATCCTATGGAAAGGAAGGAGAACATTTTATAAAGACATCAAACTAAAACTGAAAAGATTGCTATAAACCTTCTCCCATTTCTATGATTATATAAAAACAAGCTGGTATTGATGACGTCATATTGTGTTACCATGTAGGCAACCACGCAGGCCTACTGAGGTAGCAAATTTAATTGTAAAGTTTCTGAAGATTTGAAAGCACTTTACTAATCAGAAGTGTCTCCAATTTTACTATTTTTCTATACATATACATATATATTTATATATAATTCCCTTTATGGAGTTGGGGGAGTAAACTGTAATAGTATCTATATGTATCACTCTTAAATGATTATGGATAATATATATTTGATGTTTATTCTTGTCTTGAATTCACGAATGCTGTTTGCCTATTAAATGACATTGTTAATAAAAAGGATTTATATAATCATACATGGAAACTGACCTCATAACTTTCAAAATGACATCTTTTTATTAACAATAAGAATATCTCTATCCATTTAAATCCACCAGTTGATCAGTTGTACCAGTGTATATATATAGATATTTCCGCACAATCATATATGGTAAACATTGCTAAATCTGATCGTCCTTATTATCTCTATCCTACTGCATTAAACATTCACTAGATCGTTACTGATGTGAATCTTTTCTAACCAGAAGACCTAATGTTACTCTATGTTTACTTTGAAATCCCTGTTGTAAGTTAAATTCTGATTTACTGCCTGATTATCTTAGTAAAAGCTCAGTTCAGCTCTGTGTGAACCAGGATCTCATAATGTTTTGGACAATCCTTTATCTAAAAACAGAAGGATTTAACTGCTTATTTTGCAACCATTATATCATTGATATTAACATACTTATCAAGTGCTGTCATAATTTTGAGGACACTACAAATAGACAAAAACTTCAGGATGTGCGATGTTTTATTGGAAAATCCTTTTCTCATAATTTTGTAAGCCTTAAAAAGCGAGGATGGATAAAAAACATTGACTATAAATAAAATTGAGAATTGCTGCTGCCTGTTAAATTTTCTTATCGTGACATCCTTGATAATTCCATTCTAAGTATTAGATGAATACTGTTTCAGGAGCCGCCTATATATCTCTCTTTTGTTCATATTTTGCCCTGGTTTTATCTAATGTTGGTATTTTCTTTTTGCTTATTTGAAGTATATAACAGTATTAGTAACAGTGACTTGTACAATAAATGCACGTGAAGGCTGGGTTTGTTTAACGTTTCTTATCATTAGACTGGATTCATTTTCAGTTTTTCATTTTCCATTTAAACATTATCTACAAATATCATGTCATTAATTATCCACTGATCTCGCATTACACTTTGAGACGAATCCTGTAATATAATCCAATTGCTTGTGAATTATTGTCATTGAAATGGAGATATTCATGACAAAATATTTTTATAAATGAAAAATCAGTTAGTTGAAATTATTGTGACGTGATCATTCGTGTTAAATGTTGTCCTGTCAATATTGTTGATATGAAGTGGAGAGTTTAAAATTCTTCATTCTCGCGTGTGTATTTATAATGTAATTATATTTATTTAACGAGTATTTAAAATTGTAATTGTTACTGTTGTTACTGTTTATAGAAACAGTCATACAAGACTGTCGCATGATGTACCATTCCATAACACTTCTGGATAAATAATAGGTGTGGCGTGGACACTGTATGTTGAATAAGGTAACAGGTAACCATAATCAGGAACAGAAGTTCACACCATGCCACCTTTAATATCTATGAGTAGTGTTACACAAAATACGGGAATTCCTATTTTATTTAAATCACCTGTTATGATACCTATAAAAACCTATTTGCAGATGAATGCACTTGATGTATTGGTGTTTGCAAATTGTTTTTCTTTCATACCAGCAGGAAACGAAACATATTCTTATCAATGTTTATGATTAATTTCTTTAAAAGGTTTCAAAATTAAACAAAAAAATATGAATGTATAAATGTGATATTTTGATTAAGGATTATTTTAATCACTACACCTATCAGCTTGTGTCACATGACATGACGTCATTGGCAACTAATTCACACCATTTTCAGCCACTCAAAATTCATTCATTAATGGGCCTGTCATATTTCAAACGGAAATGTATAAAGATATGAAAAATTACTTATTCATTGTTTATTGTTTGTGTGCATTATATTTGAATATTTTATGTCGTAGTCCAGGTGAAAGTGTAAATATTTGTTTCATTCATTTAAAAACGATATTCTAATAGATCCACCACAAGGTGGCATGCTGCCATTCCTCAAGTTGTCAATTGGAATTGACATATGTCACATTTTCTTTCACTATCAGGCTGTCTTGTATCGAACTCTTAATTTATCTTAAAATTCTGTTCACATGTGTGTCGGGGAAAACCCACATAGTTGTAGTCATAGACGCCAGTTTCTTTCACATCTTTGTGACATATGCTACTACATTCCACTTCTTAAACCCATTTAGGTAAATCCCATCTGGAAACTTAAGCTGATATTTCAATTTTGGTATGTTGGCTTATATCTTAGGTATTCAGTATATAACATATACGCTTTACCATACATTTACATAAAGCGTATGTTATTTAAGGAGAAAATGTTGAAGTTATGCTTTTGTTTTATTTCTTTCTACCGAGTATTTGTTTGTAAGAATCATGAATCAGTTCCATGTTAATCCAACGACTTGATAAGTGATGATTGAAGCCAGCAACTGTAAACTGTGGTTTAATAGCGTAAAGTTGCATTGTATAAAAGAAGCATGTGTTCAGGAAGATTGAAATATTGTGTTTTTGAATTTTGTGAGTTAGAATAAAATCAGAAAGAATAAATATATTGAGTTGGCGTTATTATCGATTTACATATATTAAGACAATTCCTTTTGTTATGGAGTGTAAACAACACATATTAATACTGATATAAGTGAGAAAATTCCTTGGGTTATGGAGTGTATACATGACATATTAATACCGGTAAAGGTGAGAAAATTCCTTGGGTTATGGAGTGTATACATGACATATTAATACTGGTAAAGGTGAGAAAATTCCTTGGGTTATGGAGTGTATACATCACATATTAATATTGATAAAGGTGAGAAAATTCCTTGGGTTATGGAGTGTATACAACACATATTAATACTGGTAAAGGTGAGAAAATTCCTTGGGTTATGGAGTGTATACAACACATATTAATACTGGTAAAGATGCGAAAATTCCTTGGGTTATGGAGTGTATACAACACATATTAATACTGGTAAAGGTGAGAAAATGCCTTGGGTTATGGAGCGTATACAACACATATTAATACTGGTAAAGGTGAGAAAATGCCTTGGGTTATGGAGCGTATACATATTAATACTGATGAATGTGCCACAAGTTATTATTAAAATATCAAAACAACATTTCTTATTGTATTAGTCTAAAACACGACCACTGCCAGACAGGCAGACAACCTGAATAATTTGTGGGGGAAATTGACACAGGTTAACGACGTTGCTTCGGCTTGGAAATCCAAACAAAGCGATGAAAGCCCTAGACTCAATACAGCAAGAGAAGCATTACTGCCTACTTCAGATCTCCTGGGTCCTCTGGTCGTATTGGCAAGTGTGATTGTTAAAGAATTCTCGTTTGAATGGTGCCAAGGGATCTCGGTCCTAGTGGTGCTGAGTGTTCCAAGTTCTAGTGGTGCTGAGGGTTCCAAGTTCTAGCGGTGCTGAGGGTTCCAAGTCCTAGCGGTGCTGAGGGTTCCAAGTCCTAGCGGTGCTGAGGGTTCCAAGTCCTAGCGGTGCTGAGGGTTCCATGTCCTAGTGGTGCTGAGTGTTCCAAGTCCTAGTGGTGCTGAGGGTTCCAAGTTCTAGTGGTGCTGAGGGTTCCAAGTCCTAGTGGTGCTGAGGGTTCCAAGTCCTAGTGGTGCTGAGTGTTCCAAGTCCTAGTGGTGCTGGGTGTTCCAAGTCCTAGTGGTGCTGAGGGTTCCAAGTCCTAGTGGTGCTGAGGGTCCCAAGTCCTAGTGGTGCTGGGTGTTCCAAGTCCTAGTGGTGCTGAGGGATTGCTCTCCGAATGATGCCAAGGGACCTTAGTCCTAGTGATGTTAAGGGATACCTGCCCTAGTGTTGTTAAGG